CTGGAGTCCACCCAAACCCATGTCCATTGAGTCGATGATGCCATCCTACCATCTCATCCTCTGTCATCTCTTTCTCCTCCTGCCCTCAATCTTTCCCAGCATCAGGGTCTTTTCCAATGAGTCAGTTCTTTGCATCAGGGGTCCAAAGTACTGGAGTTTCAGCTTCAGCATCAGTCCTTCCAATGAACACCTAGGACTTATCTCCTTTAGGATGGACTGGTTGGATCTCCTTGCAGTTCAAGGGACTCTCAAGAGTCTTCTCCAACACTACAGTTCAAAAGCATCAATTCGTCTGTGCTCAGCTTTCTTTACAGTCCAACTCTCACATCCATACATGACTACTGGAAAAACCATAGCCTTGACTAGATGGACCTTTGTTGGCAAAGTAATGTCTCTGCTTTTTAATAGGCTGTCTAGGTTGGTCATAACTTTCCTTCCAAGGAGTAAGCGTCTTTTAATTTCAAGGCTGCAATCACCATCTGCAGTGATTTTGGAGCCCAGAAAAATAAAAGTCGGCCACTGTTTCCACTGTTTCCCCATCTATTTGCCATGAAGTGATGGGACCAGATGCCATGATCTTAGTTTTCTGAATGTTGAGCTTTAAGCCAACTTTTTCACTCTCCTTTTTCATGTTCATCAAGAGGCTCTTTAGTTCTTCACTTTCTGCCATAAGGGTGGTGTCATCTGCATATCTCAGGTTATTGATATTTCTCCCAGCAATCTTGGTTCCAGCTTGTGCTTCTTCTAGCCCAGCGTGTCTCATAATGTACTCTGCATATAAGTTAAATAAGCAGGGTGACAATATACAGCCTTGACGTACTCCTTTTCCTATTTGGAACCAGTCTGTTGTCCCATGTCCAGTTCTAACTGTTGCTTCCTGACCTGCATACAGGTTTCTCAAGAGGCAGGTCAGGTGGTTACACAGCATCACATCACCACTTTCTTCTCAGCACCCCAAACCAACTTATTCTCTTGTCCTGGTTCTATTATCTCCAAACTTTAGTTCAGTATCACCCTCCACTTTACCTTTTTATACTTAGCTGCTGAGCACTGCTGGAGAAAATCCCCACATGCATATTACATGCAGTGCTACACATGTTTAGACTTCGTCCTCAGGTGAACCCTCCAAAATACTGTCATATGTCCCTAGGTCGATCCCTCTCCCATCCCATATGGCAGCTATTCCAAACCTTTATCATTTGCCTTAAGACCAATGTTTCGTCATTAAATGTTTATTATTTTATTTGTTAATTGACTTTCTCCCCAACTACAGAGTAAGCTCTCTGCCTTGGTGGTGGTAAAATATAGTAGACTTTCAGTCTATGTATGAATCCTCCCCTCGAGGCTTTGTCAGTTTCCCATTTCAGAGTAAACCGAGGCCATTAGGAATGAACTCTAACAATATTCTGCCTTCACGACTACAAACTTAACTCTGAGGACACCTTTCAGTTGGTCTTCAGTTCTTGCTAATGTAACTGATGAACTTCCTTTATAAAATAGTCAAGAATCAGCTTTCCTTTTAACTGACCTCTACTAAGTTCCCGATATGGGTACTTATATACTATAAAGGTGAGTGGGTATTTCTCAAGGTTCTAAACTTGACACTCTTCTCTCCTTCTCTGTTTTGCCTTTGAACTGGCTCATTCACACTCAAGGCTTCTATCACTACCATTTAAGCTAAAAAATCCCAAATCCATGTACCCAAGCCAAATCTTATTTCTAAATTCTCAATACTTAAAATGTCAATGTCCGGTGGTAGTCATTCCTCCTCAAACTTGCCAGAGGCACTTCTCAACAAGTGAAAAACTAAATCCATCTTCTCCCTCTCTTAAGTATTCACTTCCCTGTACTTCTCATTCTTTCTTCATTCATTGAACAAATAAGTATGTACCAGGACCTAGGACAGGCAATGAGAATACAAAGTCATATTAACTTCTCAAAAGGAACTATAGTCTAGGAAGCAAGAGAGAGTGAAAATAATAATATAATCCAATATCTACAAAGACTGACATATGCACAAAGTGCTACAGAAGTATAAGAATAGGTGAAATTAGGGAAGGTATCTTGGAGGAGTTAATGCCTGAGACAAATGTTACAAGAAAAATAGGAGCGAACCATAGATAACCAGTCTTTTAAAAGGGGGAACATGGTATGGACAGGCTATTACAAGCAATTTAGAACTTAAGATCCAGAGCAAGAAGTGGCAACTGTAAACCACATCACAGGGTACCTTAAAGGCCATATTAACAAACATATTTCATCCTGAATGCAAATGGGAACTTCAAAGGAATTTTAAGTATGGAATAATGCAGTATGGCTTTTGTATCAGGTATTTCTAGCGTTGTGTGTAAGAGTGTTAGAGGCAGTTATAAGGCTAGTTGAATAGTCCAGACAAGAGAAAGGCCTGCAGGAGTGGTAATAAGTAGGAGGAAGAGACACAAAAAAGAAATAATTAGCAAGCTAAGTAGGTGGGCCTTCCTAATTAATCAGCTATCCAGAATGCAGGGTCAAGAAGGAGTGAGGATTTAACATGGCTCCTGGTCAAGTTTCAAGCTTGGCTGAAAAGGGCACCCCACAAGTAAGTAAGAGTAAGAAAAGAAATCCAATAGAAAAACAGGCAAAGGCTATAATCAGCCAATTCACAGAAAAATAAAAGGCCATTAAACACATTTTGCAAGTCCCATTTCACTGGTAATTACTTCCATACAAATTACAATGGGATACCATTACCATTCCCACCTCCAAAAAAGATTCACCAAATTTTAAAAGATGGATAATATTCAATGCTAGTAAAGGTATGGGAATGTGAATATATCTAAACACTAATACTGGAGAATAGTTTGGAACACCCTTTTTAGGTGCAATTTAACAATATATTTCAACCCCACTTGAAAGACATTGGAATTCTACTTCTATTAATAAAAGTGTAGACATTCATACTTATATAAAAAGTTCTATACAAGAATGTCCACTGTAGATGATTTAAACAAGAATATGGAGACAACCTAAACATTAATCCTTAAGGAGAAGTTAAATCAGTTATGGTAATCCATACCACAGAAGACAGCAATACAACCTAAAATATGTATGAAACAAAATGGAAATTTCCAAAGCATACACACTTCAGGGGAAAAACTAAGTCATAGAATATATTCCAACTTACATTTAAGAAATAAAAGTTCATATATGTTTGTAAATGCACAGATAAAGGTCATGAAGAACTTTTTGGAGAGAAGAGTAGAATGGAGGAATGGATGGGATAAATGGACACTCATTTTCCACTTTAGTTAAGGATATAGCTTGATTCCTCCACACACACAAAGATAAATTACTTTTATAATTTTAAAAATGAAAAACACAATGTATGTGACATGTGGCATGTGACTAGCCAATAAAACAATTCGATAATTAAAATAGATCCAATGGCTTTTCTAAAGCCACAGTCTAAGATAATAAATATTTAATAAAGACTACTACGAAACATCTCTTTTGTTACTAGCTATCGTCAAATATGCTTTACACAGTGCCCAAAAGGACTGCATTCACTTGTGCCCCTTGCTGGTAGGGCAAGCCCACTTATAGCATTTCATGCTGCTCAAAGCTGTACTCAAGGAATTTTTCTCTGCAATGCAGAAATCATATCAATTGACATTTCACATCTTTGTATATTTAATCTTCTTGAAAAGGTTTTAAAACTATAATCAATGTTTACCATTCCTGATACAAATGGCTGTAATAAAATTTAAGTGACTAAAAAAACAATGAGGACAGAGTAAGAAATATTTTGACCCATAATTTAACTAAAACTTAGCTTTCACTCACTGTTTCTTAACACAGTGTACTCTCTTTCAACATTTTCTCAAGAGCATAAACTATTTTTGGAATTTTCCCTCTTTGTTATATAACAAGTATTTCCTTATAAAAAAATTCTTTCTGATGACTGTTTTTAACATTCTTTTACTTCTGCAACGAAATCTGTCCAAATAACTTTCAAGTTTTCTTGTCCCATCATTTTCTCCAATATCAAAGAGATGCCTAACATTGCAAACTGAGAAGTTTCACTTCTGAATGTAAATAAAAAATAATAACAAACATCTGCTTCCAGTAAAGTACCCATTTGTATCTGAGGTCAAGAAAGAGGTACTAATTCACTTTGACTACTGAGTAATGAAAACTGAGCCTTTTTTATGACTCACTGTTACAGGCTGAACTGTGTCTCACCCCCTATCCCACCAAGATACATATGTTTAATTCCTCATCCAACACCTCAGAATGTGACTGTATTTGGAGATAGGGTCTTTAAAGAGATAATTAAGTTAAAATAACGTCATTATGGTGGGTTCTAATATGACCAGTGTCCTAAGAGGAGGAAATCAGGACACAGATACGTAACTCATGTAAAGACTCAAAGAGGAGAAGATGGCTGTCTATAAACCAAGAAGCATGAGTCAAAGTGAGAAAATAAACTTCTGTTTAAGCCACTGTTATGAAATGAGTTACATCTTTTCAAAATTCATAAACTGAAGCCCTAATTCCCAATGTGAGTGTATTTAGAAGCAGGGCCTTTAAGGAGGTAATAAAGGTTAAATGAGGTCATAAGGGTGGGGCTCCAAGCCCAGGACTTCTTTACAAGAAAAGAAAGGAAAACCAGAGATTGCTCTCCTTCCACCACATGCACAGAGCAGAGGCCATGTGAGGACACAGTTCAGACTATAAGCTGAGAAGAGACACCTCACCAGAAACCAGCCCTGATGACACTTTGATCTTGGACTTCTAGCCTCCAGAAATGTGAAAAAATAAATTTCAATTATTTTAAGCCACTGAGTCTGTGGTACTTTGCTACAGCAGCCTGAGCAGACTAACACATCTGCCAATCAAGCAGTTTGCAAAGTATTTTCGACACACATGTTAGAGAAGACAAAGCATTTAAGAATCCCCACTAAATCAATAAAAAAAAACACAGCCCAGTTGATGCAAGTTTTTTATAACATCTTTCTTACCTTCTTAAAGAATGCTGCAGGTGCCATTTCAGATCCATTCAGTGTTCGCAAGAGGAACATTGGCCAAGATGATGTGTTCATCTGGTACCCTATTTTATAAAATAAAGCAGGTATTTTTTAAAAGCCTCTCTGTGATATTATAGCAAGTTGGCATAAAAAACGTTCCATTTACCATTCTTCTCCAAAGAATGACTTTCTTATCGAGGAACGCAGGAAATGGGCTACAGGAGCAGGTGCACCCTCCAATCGGTGCTACTGTATCCACTGTACTGTTAGACAAGAATGCTACAGTGGGGGTAGAAATTCTCATTTTAAAAAAGCCACTAGCTAGGGTTCACAAACATACACATATATGCTGGGAATAGGCCAGAATACTAGGAGATCCAATTCAAAACCCAGGAGAGCTTCCATTCCCCACCAACCACCACACACACAGAGTAAAAGGGTTGTAAAAAACTACCAGCCCCTCTTTTTCCTCAGAGCCTCTGCCTTACTTCCTTTCAGAAAGACAGTTTTCTGTCAAACTCAGTAAATGTACACTTATGATGGTACATTTCACTGTACGTAAATTTTACCTCAAAAGAAAAACAAACTGTAAATAAACAGTGAACTTAGTTAATGATATGCACGCTAAAGTATTTAGGGGAAATGTACTGATGTCAATAACTTATCCTGGACTGCATTTAAAAATATAATTCACTGATGAACTGATAGAAAGGCAAGTAATCAATAAAGCAAGTATAGCAAAATGATAACAGGTAGAATGTAGGTAGTGGGTATATGGGTGTTCACCGGAAAATTCTTTCACCTTTTCTGTATGTTTGAAATTTTTCATACATTAAGTTGGGAAAAAAGACAGCTCTCACTTTAGCAATCCCTACACACACTAAATGATCTTATATTAGGATTTGTATCAAATGCTATCAAAATAGACTCAACATATGTATTCTCTAGAGATCTCATCAATTAATGGTGACTATCACAGCATGTGGCATGTGCAGCAGGGAGCAGGAGTCTGCTAGCTTTACTATTTTCTGGGGCAATCTGTTACATGCAATACTTGCCTGCCTTGATGCCAGAATTGGTTGGTGAGAACTTGGCATGTATCCCTGATGAATACATGAATTAAGATAGAGAGGCACATGAATCACATTGCCAATGGGTCCACCAATAAGATAAAATATACAAGAAAGTTCAGACAGAAAGTCATTTTATAATAATCATGTATCAAAACATCCTTAATCTGACTAGGAAAATAATTGCTGCTGGGGAATTGTAAAGGGTTGTTACACACTCCCTTAAAATAAATCAGTATTACTAGTGATACCTAATATTAAATAGTTATCCAGAGCATGGATTCTCCACACTATGGTTAGAAAAGCGCATGACAATCATTCTCTGGTCCTTATGCCTTTCTCTTAACCTGCATCTTATCCTATTACATGAGGTACCATGACTTTTCTTTAATTTAGCATTTTCCTTAATTCTGAATCACCTAAAGTCAAGCACAGATCAAAGTGCATGTAAAAAATTCAAACACAGCTAAAACTAAATTAATGATATTAGGAAGTCTGGACAGTAGTTACCTTTGGAAAGGAGGAGGACATGACTGGGGATCAGCAGGAATGGGGCTTCTAGGGGCTGACAATGTTCTCTTTCTTTATTTGGATGTTGGTTTTTATACAAGTGTGTTCATTTATAAGCTGTACACTTTTCTCCATGTTTGTTAAAACTTTAAAAAATAATTTTAAATAAGAACCTTTAACATTTAAATAAATAAACCTTTTAAAAAGTAAAACTATGTAAGTTGTGTTATATTAAAATGGAAACTAAACTATTCAAAAGCATCTCATGAGCAAGTTGGCAAAAATTGTATTTTTTTATTATGTGGTGTCAAAATACATACTAATCAGCATTTATTGCTATGTATTTCATATTTTTAATTAATAAACTCTAAAAGTAATTTGAAAAAAGAATGATTATAAATTTGGTTATGTGTCTGAAATGCTGACAATCACAACAGCTATGTTTCCTTTAAACAAAATACAAACACATACTAGCATACTGACAACAGAGAAATAAAACCCAAACAGGGAAGCACTAAGCCTCAAATGTATATCTGTTACAGAAGTCTGTATGATTTAAGAAATATTATAAAAATAAGCAACAAAAAATGTGAATGTTATGAAAAGGGGAAAAGCAGAAAACACATATATCCTAAACCATCTTCTTGGGAATAACACATACTTGATTAGTTTTTAAAAATATTTTAAACCAAGTTAGTATTAATTAACCATTAGAACAAAGACAATATAAAACGATGTTGCTAAAAAGAATAGTTATTACTGTCTTAAATTTTTTATTCTCACAGCATCTTTCACTAGTTGGAGACAAAAAGAAGTTCATTCTCTCACTGTGCATTATAATAGAGCATTTTCATTTTTAGCATTGTAAAAAAGAAACAAAAACCAATACCCACCATTCACTCAGAATGTGTAAGTAATAAACTAAATACTTACATTCTACAGAATACCATGGTACACCAAAGTATTAAAACAGAAAAATTTTGCGCAAAATTAGGGTCATGTACTTTGTTTCTTTTAAAAACTTGGTCAAAATCAAGAGTTTTATATTAAAAACCTTTGCTGAAGAGTTCCATCAATCTCTTCCTTTACACAGACCTAAAGATACTGATTCCTACCCCTCTCACTATGATTTCTTCCCACACAGGTGTAACGAAATTCCCAAGCCTGACACTGGAGTCCCAGTGTAAAATCATCTCCTTCTACCGTGCTAATCCCCATAACAAAAAGGATGAATGGCTCATTAGACAATACTGAGGGAGGAAGTGACTCATATCAAATGCTACAGACTTCTCCCCTAGAAGGGTTTCTGAATCTGCATGTGTAATCTAGTAGAGCTTCTTTTGACATTTCAAGTTTTAAGGCAGAAGGAGTCTTGCTCTGGAGTGGGGAACCTTTAGCCACACATATGCCAAATATGTACTTAAATGAAACTTTATAACATATGGTACTGAGTTACTTTCTCAAACCTTCTCCAGAGTAACCACCTGACCGTCTGTTTGCCAGAATGCCCAGGAGAAGAGATTTTTAAAAGGTCAGTTGAAATTATTTCTACTGAATATTACATTAGCAAGAATATGTTTGTTTTAAAACTGTTTATCCTTACCCAGCGGAGGCTGAAGTAAGTCCCCTTCCTTTTCACATGTCCCAACAGGCTGTATGTCTGGAGAATCAACAAGCCGCCAAAAGTCATTTTGGTTATCACTACCATCCAATCTTAAACGCAGCCTGGCACCTGTAACTCCAACAACTGTAGCAATACATACTGAAGTCTTATTGCGAGGGTCATGGGCTTCCAACTTCATGCCAACTTTGAAGTCATTAGCTGGCGGAATCTTAGACTATATACATAAACACATACAAATAAAATTCTGTTAAAACTCTTTAACTGTAGGAAAATCAATGGTCAATTATGTTACCAGAATACATGAGGAACATTTTAAGTAACAGTTGCAACAGTTGGTGAACAAAGTGAGAGCCGTAAGGGTTAAGAAAAAGATCTCCAAACTCTCTCCTTGGCTTGACACACAGCCTGACATGGTTGCCCACTGCTTGTCACTCACCTGCCCACTTCCAGGCAAACCAAATACAACCTCTAAAATGTATCCTGAGTGCCTTTCTAATATAAGAATTTGATTAGGCCTTTCCTCTTAAATTAAACCAAAAGGCACCTCACCACTGCCTAATGTAAAGTCCAAACAGTCAGTATAGTTTAAAAGCCACCACACTTTAACCTCACTCCCATACTATCACCTCTACCTACTTAGTGCTCCAGCCATCCATACCATCCCTTAACACTCAGGCCCATGTCTCTTTCCTTTGGATGTTCTCTCTGCCTGGAATATCCTTCCCCTCATTACAACTACCTCAGATAGGACCTCTTCTGTGAGCCCTTTCCAGTATAGTTATCACACTTTTTATCATTAATTATTTACATGGCTGTCTTTCCCTCCAGATGGGCAGTCATAAGAGCTTAGTATACCTGACATGAAGTAAATTCTTAATCAATGAATGCAAAGAGACCATCTGGTTCTTAAGCAGCACTGCCACAATCCCACAATTGCTTCACACTAATAAAGATTCCCTTAAAAAAGTTAATAGTTTACAAAAATAAATATAACATGGTATCTACAGAATTTTGGCATACCTGTCTAAAATACTCTGAAGGAGCACTTAAAGATCCAGTCTCTTCCAAATATTTTTCCCATTGAAAATCATCTGGAAAAAAACATACAAAAATAGGTGGGGTTTTTTGGTTTATTTTTGGGCTCCACCAACATAGCTTGTGGGATCTTAGTTCCCCAATCAGAGAGCAAACCCAGGCCCATGTCAGTGAAAGTATCAAGTCTTAACCACTGGATTGCCAGAGAATTCTCAGGGTTTTTTTAAACATATATAATATGTATACTAACTTTCAGAAATAAAATGGATTTTAGTTCCATATCTCTTTAAAGAAATACTTCTTAAAGGACAGATTGAAACTTCTTCATTTGACTATCAGCATGGAAATAAAAAATAAGAACATTTCCTGATGATAATGGTTCTGATATAAATGATAATCCAGATCTTCTTGATGTAATAAGGATTGCATCACAGTGATTCTAAAAACGTGAACTCTAAAAACAACTAAAGGACTTTTTATAGAGTAATAGCAAATTCTACTCATATGTCTCTAATACAAATTTACTCAAAATATGTCTATCATTTCATCCCATTACTCTGAAGTTGTTTCTTTGTTTTTCACAGGGATCTAAAGGTGTGTGGCATAGCAGAAATTAAGCATTAATTATGGAAAGAAACTCTAAGAACCAGCGTTGTTTCTCAATTGACTATTAGATCTCCATCCAGGGTGTCAAGAATATGGTGGCAGAACAAAGCAGAAACCAGTCATCAGTGCAATGACTATACACAGATTGTTTTAACAATCTATATTTTATGCAAACTCTTTTTGTTCTTTCTCTCAGTCCTGATGACATATAATGCTAGAAGTAAAGGTCAGAAGGCAGTACACTTTTCCTGGACACTTCAATTCACTGTGTCAGCTCAGTCACAATGCTCTGAAAGACTTGACAGCAGTATTAAAGGTACTATTAACTCATATAAACTTTAATTCTCATCAAACATGAGGGTTTTTTTTCTATACTCCCTGTTTAATCTCTTTACTATAAAAATATTAGGGTTTCACAGTTCCCTCCCTAGGGGAATCTGTGTTACTAGCCCTTTATACATTCTTCAAAGGCTGTAACAGTTCCACTTACACACACATACACACACACTCTCACACACTGCTGATAAATGTTTAACAGGAAGCTTTCCAGAAAATACAAACAAAACGCCTGACTGGAACTGGTAGTGTTTGCAGATTTCTGTGCTGTAAATACCACCACCATGGCTGACTGCAAGATGCCAAGGTAAAGTTACCAACCACACAGTTAGGAAGAAATGTGAGCTGATGTGAAATGTGAGCAACATTCAGAATATCACTGTTACATGAAATTATGCATTTAATATGTGTATGTACATATGGTATTAAGCATGTCATTTCATAACACTGTATATACCCTTTTAGAGACTTTTCCACTTTAAAAAAATACTGGGTTTAATTCTGCTTCCAGATTATGTAAAGCAAGCACTACCACAGCGCTGAAGAGCATGCAGCAAAATGTCAAGAACACAGGCTCTTGACATGAAAATGCTATTTTTCAGTCTAACTGTGCCTTTTACTAGCTAGTGACCCTAAGCAAGTCCCTTCATTTTCTCGGCCTCAGTTCCTTTATCTATAAAATGAGGAAAGTAATACGTATGGTATAAGGTATTTTGGAGAACTAACCAAAGTAGTATGCATATAAATAACTTGATAAATACATACTACTTAGTGAAATAAAGTAAAGATGACATAAAACTAAATGTCATCCGTTGGATCATCGAAAAAGCAAGAGAATTCCAGAAAAACATCCACTTCTGCTTTATTGACTATGCCAAAGCCTTTGACTGTGTGGATCACAACAAACTGTGGAAAATTCTTCAAGAGACGGGAACACATGACCACTTTACCTGCCTCCTGAGAAATCTGTATGCAGGTCAAGAAGCAACAGTTAGAACCAGACATGGAACAGACTGGTTCCAAGTAGGGAAAGGAGTATGTCAAGGCTGTATATTGTCACCCTGTTTACTTAACTTATATGCAGAGTACATCATGTGAAATGCGAGCTAGATGAAGCACAAGCTGGAATCAAGATTGCCGGGGGAAATTGCAATAACCTCAGATACGAAGATGATACCACCCTTATGGCAGAAAGTGAAAAACTAAAGAGCCTCTTGATGAAAGTGAAAGAAGCAAGTGAAAAAGTTGGCTTAAAACTCAGCATTCAAAAACTAAGATCATGGCATCCAGTCCCATCACTTCATGGCAAATAGATAAGGAAACAATGGGAAAAGTGACAGACTTTATTTTGGGGGGCTCCAAAATCATTGCAGATGGTGACTGCAACCATGAAATTAAAAATCGCTTGCTCCTTGGAAGAAAAGCTATGACCAATCTAAACAGCATATCAAAAAGCAGAGACATTACTTTGCCAACAAAGGTCCACCTAGTCAAAGCTACTGTTTTATTGAGCAGCCATGTATGGATGTGAAAGTTGGACTTTAAAGAAAGCTGAGCACCAAAGAACTGATGTCTTTGAACTGTGGTGTTGGAGAAGACTCTTGAGTGTCCCTTGGACACCAAGGAGATCCAACCAGTCCATCCTAAAGGAAATCAGTCCTGAATACTCATTGGAAGGACTGATGCTGAAGCTGAAGCTCCAATACTTTGGCCACCTGATGCGAAGAACTGACTCATTTGAAAAGACCCTGATGCTGGGAAAGATTGAAGGCAGGAGGAGAAGGGGACAACAGAGGATGAGATGGTTGGATGGCATCACTGACTCAATGGACATGAGCTTGAGCAAGCTCCGGGAGTTGGTGATGGACAGGGAAGCCTGGCATGCTGTAATCCATGGCATCACAAAGAGTCAGACATGACTGAGAAACTGAACTGAACTGAAACATCATAGTTGTGCCTAAACTTAAGAATACTGGATAGCTATATTAAAAGTGAAAACTGAGATCCATGGCTCCAAAATTTAATTGACCAGGTTACTTCAGTGACCTCATAAGCACTAACCTGACAATCAAGAGACCCAAGGTTCTAACTGAAGCTCTACAACCATATGATCTTGAAGAGCATTAAAAAAAAGAAGAAAACAAAACATGAATGGGGGGGTGGAAATCTGACTAGGATGTAATTAAAGAGCCACCATACCAGGATGAAAGGAGTATAAGTTGGAAATAATAACTGAGAAATCAAAGCTATTTCACAATTAGACCTCAAAGAACTTAAGACTTTTCCACAAATCAGTTATGTTTGTAAAATTTTTCAGTGACACTGGAAAATAATTAATCTAAGACAATGTTTAAAATATTCTATCACCATGTGTGTCTTCAGTCAGTCAGTTCAGCTCAGTCGCTCAGTCGTGTCCAACTCTTTGCGACCCCATGGACTGCAGCATGCCAGGCCTCCCTGTCCATCACCAAATCCTGGAGTCCACCCAAACCCATGTCCAAGTCAATGAAGCCATCCAACCATCTCATCCTCTGTCGTCTCTTTCTCCTCCTGCCCTCAATCTTTCCCAGCATCAGGGTCTTTTCCAATGAGTCAGCTCTTCGCATCAGGTGACCAAAGTATTGGAGTTTCAGCTTCAACATCAATCCTTCCAATGAACACCCAGGACTGATCTCCTTTAGGATGGACTGGTTGGATCTTCTTGCAGTTCAAGGGAGTCTCAAGAGTCTTCTCCAACACCACATTTCAAAAGCATCAATTCTTCGGCACTCAGCTTTCTTTATAGTCCAACTCTCACATCCATACATGACCACTGGAAAAGCCATAGCCTTGACTAGACAGACCTTTTGTTGGCAAAGTAATGTCTCTGCTTTTTAATATGCTGTCTAGGTTGGTCATAACTTTCCTTCCAAGGAGTAAGTGTCTTTTAATTTCAAGGCTGCAGTCACCATCTGCAGTGATTTTGGAGCCCAGGAAAAATAAAGTCAGCCACTGTTTCCCCATCTATTTGCCATGAAGTGATGGGACTGGATGCCATGATCTTAGTTTTCTAAATGTTGAGCTTTAAGCCAACTTTTTCACTCTTCCTGTTTCACTTTCAAGAGGCTCTTTAGTTCTTCTTCACTTTCTGCCATAAGGGTGGTGTCATCTGCATATCTGAGGTTATTGATATTTCTCCCGGCAATAATGGGCTATAATTTGAGCTAGCAAATCCTTTATACCAATGCTATATAATATAAGTGCTTTCTATCGCACTGCTAGTTAATGTAACCTTTGGAGCCTTAATTTTTTTCTTTGTTCATGAGGCAAAAATTCTTAGTCCACAACACTATTCAGCTTGGATGCCCATATGATGACAGTCTACCAAAAATATAGTGGAAACACACATAGCAAAAGGCTTTACTAATTTAGATTTGATACATCTACAATACCACAGTGAGAATTCCTGACCAAAATAGTTCAGAAAGTAGCAGACAAGCCTGAAGTCCCTATTTGTCTCTGCATTTTTATCCTCACTGACAGATAAGCAGCTAGGGTTGGGGGGATGGGGATTTACTCTTTCAGAAAAGAGCCCTGGGAACTGATAGGCCTTTTCTTGAGACAGATGTACATAATGTTGTGATCTGCTTGTTGCTTGCACATGTCTGTGGTCCTTCTTGTTTGATTTGTAATCTATTCTAGTCCATACACTAGCCCAAACCCCTTTTAGCAAAATGAACATAATCTATGAGGCCCCCTATTCTTCTCCAGAGTAAATCAGAATCATAATGTCTTCCACCAGTGCTAGGCTTGGGTTCAGAGGCTATGTAAAGAAAATGAGGAAAGTATCTAGAGCTTGAAGCTTCTCAGCTGAATGATCAGTACCCACTACTTTATAGTATTTACCACAACTATAACTGGACATTTGTTTAATGTCTACCAAAGCTCAAAGCAACTGAACACACATGCACGCAAGCTCAAAGACCGTAGGAATCGTGTTTATCTTATTCATTACTGGACTCCCATAGAAGGTCACCAGTATCTGCCAGGCACTATACTAGGTACTGCAGATGCAGCAGTTAATAAAACAGACAAATACCCTGGCTCTCCTGGAGCTTACCTTCTAGTAGTCACTCACTGATTTCTAAAATAAGATGTTAGGGTCAGGACGCTGAGAAATCTGCAAATGTCTGTCAATTTGACTAAGTAATCTCATTTTTAATCAGAGTTTCTCAAACAGAAAAGTTTGAAAATTTTGAAAAGTTACTAGTTTCAACTTTTAAGGATATATTCTTCAAATTGATTTTCATGAAATTTCCAGAATAGGCAAATCTATAGATAGAAAGAAGGTAAATGGTTGCCTAGGGAGAGGCACTGTGAGGAAATGGAAAGTGACTACTAGCTAGGTACTAGGGTTGCTTTTTAGGGTGATAAAAATATTCTAAAACTGATCATAGTGATGGTTACACAACTCTGGGAATACACTACTGAGAACCACTGAACTGTATACTTTAAATGGGGAGATTGTATGGTATGTGAATTATATCTCAATAAAACTATTATATTAAAAAATGGAAAGGAATTTGTAAGGATGAGGAAGAGCTCTCTAACCTAACAGCCTCCATTTCCTTGGAGAGTTTTGGGGACTGGAAGGAAGAGCTGAGGAACAAGTAAGGCCAGTGAAAAAGAGAAGTAAGGAAACACTGAGGACCCAGCTACAGTAATAAAGAATGACTCCGCTACAGGCAATCTTTTCATAGGAACAGAAAGTCATGGATGAACTACTTACTCCAAGAGTGGGGCTTTGCAGGGGAGGCACAACAGAAACACAAGGGGCAAGAGGCTTGCCTGGAAATCGCTGGTAAACACACTAAGTTTGCTATTGTATTTTTTTAATTCAGCCTTTTGTCTGCGTATGACTTATTTCCTCATTTTCCATAAGAGCAGGTGCAATGGGTCAGAGTCTATCTCCTGAGTCACTGATATAGTGCTATACACATGCTATTAACAATAAAAGCTTAAAACATGAATTAATAACTCAGACAATAAAGTTAACATTTACTGAACATTTACTACAAGCTTAGGCAGTATATTAGGTGCTTTACATTCCTTTTCTTTAATTCTAATAGTTCCGTGAGTAAGTAGTTATTATCCCTGTGCTCTTCCTTGCAAAAAGAGAGACTAAGAACATTGAGTAATTTGCCCAAGGTCACAAGGCTAGTAAAAAATGATTCTAGAAGAGGTCTGTCAGATCCCCCAAATGCCTAAGCTTTAATCCACATGACTGTCTTTTGACCATCAAAAAAGACATTCACACTGACTCTAGTGTTAGAAAGGTTTTTATTAAAAATCAAATTATTTTAAATTGGTAATACATGGTAATTAATAACTAGATATCTTTATTTTGGCAAAACTGCACTGAAATACATAGTTATCTTTTAAATTAATCCCTCTCTATGTGAAACCAAAGTAAAATTTTCAAAATTAAATACTATCTTTTTGGTCTTTCCTATTGCTTAGATTTTATATTTACAAGAGCTTACTATACATAGATTATACCAAAAGCAATAAGAAAAGAATTCATACTAACACTGAGCGAAGAAGAAATATATGTTCTACTGAACTAATTTAAAACCTACCATTTTGCACAGAAGATGTGCCTGATTGAGGAGCTCTCTCTTGATTCTCCTTCTTTACATCCATTGACTCTTTAAAAAAAAAAGAAAGAAAATAGTGAGCAATACCAGAAGAACAGAGCAACAGTTTGAAAGAGTACTTACAAAAACCTAAACTGTATTTTCTAATAGGAAGCAGTTTTAATTTTATAATTATATCCTCACTTTCTGCATAGGACTTCACTTTCTAATATATAATGTACTTTATAATTTGTTTGTTTATTGCATGTCTCATTTCACTCAAATGTAAGCTCCAAAAGGTCAAAAATTTTTTCATTTTGTCTCTTATTCACTACTTTTTATCCTCAGTGCCCAGAAAAGGACTCGGCACACAGAACATTCTTGAACATTTGTTAAATAAATGAACAAACCAAAATGAGCTGAGCTGATCCTTACAATATTCAGATTAATGTGTCCCAGCAATAAAGTGCATACTTTTGAGAATTTAAAACAACAGAGAAGCTAGAATACAATGTAATTCAACGGACTGTTTGTTGTTGTTCAGTCACGTAGTTGTGTCTGACTCTTTGTGACTCCATGGACTGCAGCACACCAGGGTTCCCTGTCCTTCAACAGACTAGGAAAAGTTTTTCTCTGTGCTAGGCTGAGGAGCTCAAACAGCACTGGACCTTGGAACTTCACCAAATCTAAGATATATTTCATCCACATTTATTATAGTATGTATTTCTTAAGTGACTCATTATGATTATTATGCTGAAAAACTAACCACAATCTTCAATATTATCAAATAAGCAGTCACTCTTCTTAACTTCCCTGTTGTCTTAAATATTTTAAATATATCTGTTTCAATCAGGACCCAAATAAAGTCCATACAGACAGTGGTAGGTACATTTCTTAAATTTCTTTTGATCTGTAGGCTCCTCTTCCTCTGTCTATTTTCCCTTCCTCTAGCAATAATTTTGCTGGTGATATCAGTTCAGACTTTTCCAGTCTGTAGTCTGCTACTTCCTCATGATACTGGGTTCTTCTGGTCCTTATAGTTTCTCTAAATTGATACAGCTATTTCAAGCCAGAAGAGCTTAACCAGATTCAGGTTTAGCTTTTTTGCAAGGAAGAGAGAAAATGACTTCATAGGTGGTGGTGTGTACTTCTCACAGGAGGTTCCTAATATACCTAGTTCTCTTTTGTGATATGAGCAGCCACATATGACTATTGCCTAGATCCATTAGCTCATCAGTGGTTGCATAATGTGAAGTCACTCAGTCGTGTCCGACTCTTTGCAACCCCATGGACTGTAGCCCACCAGGCTACATGGAATTTTCTAGGCAAGAGTACTGGAGTGGGTTGCCATTTCCTTCTCCAGGTTGCATAATGGAGGTATTCTAATTTTATCATCCTGTCTTTATTAGCCAGAAAACTTCTATGAGAGAAAACTCCCCTCTTCAACCATTCAGTTGCTCTGAGGTAGAGACCACAAAAGGAAGTCACAGTCAATGCTTTATTATTTCTCCCTTATTTTCTAGTTTTCAAAATAACGAATTGTATCCCCACCATTCTCCACAGATGACCAATAAGTATTGTTTTGTTTTTTTTAGTATCGTTATGAACCAATGGATTTAATAACATGGTATGTTTCCATCTAGTGCTATTTTACCCTTACTGAGGCTTGAACTGTCAAGTGACATACTTCTTAAAGAAGAATATAGGAAGGATGCCAGGTGTACCATTAAAGGTATCAGATCTACTTTCTGGTTATGACTGACTCTTCAAGATATGTGAACACTCAAGAGGGATGTATGGGCTACTTTCTATTTAAATAATTTGACTAATATGAAGTAAGTACACATTTATATTTACTAAATAGTTCTACAGTAGTATTTTCTAACAGAGAAGAAAGTGAAATTATAAAGGCCTGGTTCCTGTTCAAGGAAAGCTAAGAATCTAGGTACAGAGACTATACTAAACTAATACACTTGACAAAAACAGAAATAGCAGAGCACAACATTCAGCATGCAGCCAGAGTAAAAGTCATGAGAGAAAGAGAACTTAAACTGGGTCTTGAAGGAGGAACAGGATTCAGGACAACAAAAATATGAAGAATATATTATGGGAAAGAAAGTACAACTCAAAACAGAGAGTGAAAATGACTGTGACACACCCATGGGACAGTGAGCTGACTTCTCACTAGAGCAGGACAGGATGAAGCATTTTTTTAAACATCCATATTTAAGTAAGAAAATCTGGACTTTGATCTTGGCTGTCATAGATTGTTATATGACCTGTTCACTTAACCTCCCTGAGTGTCAGCTTTCTCATTTACAAAACTAAGAAGGAAAAACAAGATTACCTTTAATAGCTACTCAGTTCTAAAACTCCAATTCTTAGGACCTAAACTAACATCTTCCATTAATTTCATTTTTCTTTTTTTTTATTTAATTTTTCAAAAAAGCTTTTTTTTAAACATTCAGTCTACCAAGAGATACTAAAATTTCAAATGATTGACTAAAAGTATCATCTTTAGACAAGTATATCTTACCTTCTTTCACTGTCTGCCCCATGGTATCTCTCTGGTGTGCTTTCCTACAAGGAGAAAAATCAATTACTGCCTCCTTTTAACATAATACATCTCTGCAGGGTGGTATTATTAGAAATCAGCTATAATGGGACTACATCAAATTAAAAAGCTTCTGCACAGTGAAAGACACTAAACAAACTGAAAAGGTGACCTACTGAATGGTAAAAAAAAAAATTTGCAAATAATATACCCAATAAGGGGTGGATATCCAAAATATACAAGGAACTCATACAATTTATTTTTTTTCCATAAAAATCAGAACACTCTTTATTAGTAGTAAGGTTCTTGTATAAAAGCATAATTTCTCTTATATTTAGAGACTGAACTCATACAATTTAACATCAAAAAACAAACCAATCAAAAAATGGGCATAGGATCTGAAAAGATTATTTTTCCAAAGAAGATACACAAATGGCCAATAAGCACATAAAAAGATGTTCAACATCACTAGTTATCAGGGAAATGCAAATCAAAACTTTAATGAGATATCATCTCACACAACAGCTATTATCAAAAAGACAACAAATAACAAGTCTTGGTAAGGATGTGGAGAAAAGGGAATCCTTATTGGAATACAAATTGGTACAGATACTATGGAAAACAGTATGGAGATTCCTCAGAAAATTAAAAATAGAACTACCACAAGATCCAGCAACTGCACTCCTGGGTATTTCTCTAAAGAAAACAAAAACACTAATTCAAAAATATATATGCAGCCCCATGCTCACTTGTATTGTAAACATTGTAACATTATTTACAATAGCCAAGATATGGAAGCAACCCAATCATCCATCAGCAGATAAATGGATAAAGACGATGTGGGGTATATATACACAGTGGAGCATTACTCAGCCACAAAAAAGAATAAAATCTTGCCATTTACAACAGCATGCATGGACTGGGAGGGTATTACGCTAAATGAAGTATGGCGGATAGAGAAAAACAAATATTGTATGATTTCACTTATATATGGAATCTAAAAAAATGTAACAAAACAGTCATAAATACAGAAAACAGGTTGTTGCCAGAAGGGAAGGGGTTGGGAGAAAGAAAGCTGAGGGAAATTAAGAGGGACAAATTTCCAGTTGCAAAATAAATGAGTCACAGATATGAAATGTTCAGTGTGGGGAATACAGTCAATAATTATGCAGTATCTTTGTATGGAGTGAGCGGGCCCCTGGTGGCTCAGACAGTAAAGAGTCTACCTGCAGTGTGGGAGACCCAGGGTCGATCCCTGTGTTGGGAAGATCACCTGGAGAAGGAAATGGCAACCCACTTCAGTATTCTTGCCTGGAGAATCCCATGGATGGAGGAGCCTAGCAGACTATACAGTCCATGGGGTCACAAAGAGTTGGACATGACTAAGCGACTTCACTTTCACTTTCATCTTTGTATGATAACAGATCATGATCATAAATAGACTTATCCTGGTGATCATTTTGAAATGTACAGATATCTGGAATCACTATGCTGTGTCACAGAAACTAACATAGTGTTGTAGGTCAATTACACTTTAAAAACAAAGAAACAAACTCAGAAAAAAAAATCAGATTTGTCATTACTAGAAGTAGAGGGGCTGGGGGGAGAGAAGGAGAAATTGGCTGAAAGCAGTCAAAATGCACAAATAAGATAAATAAATGCTAGTTATAAGATAAATAAATGCTAGGGATGCAAGGTACCATGTGATAAATATAATTGACACTGCTGTATATTACATATGAAAGAGAATAAATCCTAAGAGTTGTCATCATAAGGAAAAATTTGTTTTCTATTTCTTTAATTTTGTACCTTTAGGAGATGATGGATGTTCACTAAACTTATTGTGATAATCATTTCATGGTGTATGTAAGTCAAATCATGCCAATTATATCAGTAAAAATGGAAGAAAAAAATAAAGGTTAAAAAAAAAGAAATCAGCTATAGAGTTAGATCATTTTAATCTCTTTCCTTTGAATAAAAATAAGTTCAGTAGATTAGTAGTTGCCAGGGGCTGGGGAAAGAGGGACTCAGGAGTGACTGTTAATGGGTATGGGTGTAAATATGGGTAAGGGGTTTCTTTTTTAAGGTGAGGAAAATGTTACGGAATTATACAGTGGTGATGGTTGTAGAACCTTATGAATACACTAAAAACCACTGAATTGTACACTTTAAAAGGTTAAATTTTATGGTTAAATGAATAAAAAAGAGCAGATGGTAAGCTAGGAGAGTTGAGATTCAAACTAGCAACTATCCCAAAAGCTGACTTACGCCCATGTTACCAAGAGGTGGAAGAATTATTAACTGTGTTGATAAAACCTGTAAGAAGTGCCAGTCTTCTAACAAGATAATTACTTGTTAAAAGGTCTCTGTATTTTGAGCCACGAAATCTTTCATCAATTCAAACTTTTTCTGCATGTCCTTGATATGCCAGGCACTCTACAAAAAAAAATAAATAATATACTGTCCTTGACTCTCTAGTCAAAAATAGGCACATGAACAAAACACACTGAGTGTTATAAAAGAAAAAGTACATGAAACATTGAACATGACAAAGGGATAGCTACCTCTCACTACTCCGTGTGCCTGTAGTCAGAACATGATGATGTAAGTAACAGAAGGTAATTTGTTATTTAAAGGAAGCCTATGGGGAATATTTTCTCTAAGCCACGCAGAACATCACCTGCACCTCTGACTCAACAGATTTATACTCAAGCATCACCTTCCCAAAACTTGCTTCTTCTAACATTTTTGTTTCTCTTACTAGCACCACTATTTTCCAGGTGCTTGGCCTTAAGACCCCAGCTATGACTACTGAAGTTCTCTTATTTCACTCACATATTCAATCAGTGGCCAATATGTGCTCTCTCATTTCCCTTTCCCCTGCTATTAACCGGTTTTGTTGTTATTTAGTCACTAAATCGTGCCTGACTCTTTAGTGACCCCACGAACTGCAGCCCACCAGGCATGGGATTTCCCAGGCAAGAATACTGGAATGGGTTGCCATTTCTTTCTCCAGGGGATCTTCCCAACCCACGTATCGAACCAGAGTCTCCTGCACTGAGGGTGGATTCTTTACTGCTGAGCCACCAGGGAAGAGGAAGTCATTAACTGCTTTACACCCTCATTGGCTCCTGCCTGGTCTAATGCCATGGCACCCTAACTGGTCTTACCACAAGGGCCTACCCCCACCCCAAACTACCCAATACACGATGTCATACATTGTCTGAACTGTTTTCTGCCCAAATTACCCTCCTACTTTAGTAATCTCATTGACTATTGAACAAATCTTCGTTGGGACATATTTAAAGCCCCTCATAATTTCAAAGCCACCTGACATCTACCACCTATAGCTTTCCTGTGGCCTAGCCCAAAAGTCATCATGTTATTCTATCTACATGGGACACCCTTTCCTCCTCTTCTGCTTCTGGAAATCCTATCCATCCTTTAATGCCCAACATAAATGCAAGCTCCTTCTTGAAGCCTTTCTTGTTCTTTTCTACACTACCACCATCTGTTTGCATGTGTGATCTGGTTATTTATATAACCATATTTGCAGAATTCCTGTTATATGCTTGATGCTGTTTGGATAGAAGATACACGATCTACGATGAAAGAGCTATAAATCTAGTAGGAAAGACATATTAACAAACAGTTATTGAAAACAGCAAGACAAAACACAGGCTCTTCAGGAAGGCAGGAGGTACTATTAACTGGGAATATATCAATAAAAGAAGGCTTCTCAGAGAAGTGGTGTGTAAACTGGTTCTTTAAAGGTGAACATTAAAATGAGCAGAGAGGACAGAGAGGAATTTCAGATTGAGGGCACAAAATGAGTTAACACTAAAGAAGATCCTGCCTGGTCTACTTGATTATGAAATGCTGGAGCTGCTCCAGCTCCTTCTGGGCTCTCATCTCCCTCTACAGTCTCTCAGGAGCCAAGCATACACAGACAACTTGCAAAGTATTACCTTTCCCTCCCAGATCGCTCCTCTGAAAGTCAGACTGAAATAATTAAATGGATTGGATATTTGATACCACTGTGGAGGATACTGTCAATTAAGGACTACAGCCTAACAGCGAAAAAGAAAAAGTGAAAAATATAAATAAAGTGTGCTGAATCGAAGCAGAAAGTAAAGAGAGATGAGCCACAATCCAGGTAGGGACTGAAGGAAGTTAACCAACTCTAGTCAGAAAGCAAAACCTTGTGAATTACATTAAAGTAAATCCCATTACTACACAAAGGATTTAGTTCAAAAAACTGAGGGATGAATCACACACAGAAGATAAACCCAGGTTCCTATGTTCTTCTCGAAAATCTCCACAAGTGAGTTCTTAATCCTGACTGGTATCAACTGTTCCCATTAGTTGAGTGATTTTGTAAATCCTAGAAGGTAAAAATATGTTTAGAAATAATTAAAAACAAATATTTTTTATCTTCTTTCCCCTCTTTATTTTAATTGTAGTTGATTTACAGTATTTGTTAATTTCTGCAGTACAGCAAAGTGACTCAGTGATACACACATACACACTCTTTTATATATACTTTTCCTGAAGACCTATATAAATAAATCCATGTACCATGTCAGAAGAACCAGAGATCAAACTGCCAACAACCGCTGGATCATCAAAAAAGCAAGAGAGTTCCAGAAAAACATCTATTTCTGCTTTATTGACTATACCAAAGCCTTTGACTGTGTGGATCACAATAAACTGTGGAAAATTCTGAAACAGATGGGAATACCACACCATCTGACCTGCCTCTTGAGAAATCTGTATGCAGGTAAAGAAGTAACAGTAAGAACTGGACATGGAACAACAGACTGGTTCCAAATAGGAAAAGGAGTATGTCAAGGCTGTATATTGTCACCCTGCTTAGTTAACTTATATGCAGAGTACATCATGAGACACGCTGGGCTGGACAAAACACCAGCTGGAATCAAGATTGCTGAGAGAACTAGCAATAACCTCAGATATGCAGATGACACCACCCTTATGGCAGAAAGTGAAGAAGAACTAAAGAACCTCT